TCTATGGGATTTAGTTCGGGACTGCGTGCTGGCACTACCTCTACCAATCCACCTTTGAGGATAAATTTCATCTATAGTAAAATTCATTAAGCGATGCAGGAAAATATAAACATTAAATCGTGTCCGAACCGGTATGAACCGCCGATAACATCGCCAGACGAAATAAAGATGGATATTCCGGTTAGTTTTTAAATATTTTTGAAGAACTGTTACTTGCATTTATGCATAAAATATTCATTAATTTTATAAATCGGAGTATTTTTTCACTTACTTTGTATTCAGTGATAACATTAATTTATTTACTATGCAATAAACACGAATATTTGAGAAAATAAAAAAAATAATAAAGTGTCATAATTATACTGTTACTTATCGGAACGAGTAGACTCATTTGGAACATCTTTAACAATAATCTGTTAAATTTATCGTTATTTATATGCCCTGCACCGCTTAATGGAATAAGGTATAGATAATTTTTAACTTCTAGGCTATAATGTGGCGGTGCACCATCATGAATGTACCAAGAATTACGTCTCAAATTTAGAGGTATGTCTTCTAAAAGAGTTGGTAAATCTTCTATCAAAAATTTAGATACGATACTCCGTCAATCCTTGAGATATCATTCTCTCTGTTACCGAGAGATATCACTCTCTCTCCTGTTACCGCCAAAGAATGTAGCATAGAACTTTTTTATTAATTTTAAACTGTTTGTCCCATGGAAGTATAAACATAGATGGACACAGCAATAAATACCTTTAACACACAATGTTTTGAAGCTTCGATAGAATGTGATGATTCCGCAATGAGCATAAGCGTGCTTGAAGTTTTACTCGCGGGTAATTATTCAGATTTTAAAAATTGGAAGTAGTAATAATGTATAAAAACATGTTCAAAGAATTTAAAAAAATGAGAGTTTAACTATTAACAAATCACGTCTTTATAGAAAAATTAAAGTACAATTTTATTTGCTTTAAAATTAATACAATAAAGTATAGTTGAATTCAAGTTAATTTTTAATAGGTATCAAAATAATGCTACAATAAAAAATCTTTATGTTTTCTCCTAAATTTGCTACCAAAATAGTTCGATCGTCAATATTATTTGGAAACCTACATAGAAAAATTAATGAGTTTTATTCATTTCACCATAAACACCAGCCTCAGTGTAGCAGAAAGCCAAATCCGCAGAACAGACAACATAGATGAAAAACTTAAGTATATAAATACTATAATAAGAACTACGGGAAAGAAACATCTAACCAAATCTGCAAAGAAACATAAGGTGTGGATGACACCAGACATTCTAGAACTAATGGATGAAAGACGTAAAATGAAGAATAATGCAGAAAAATACAAAGAGGTTGATAAGAACATAAAGCAAAGAATAAGAAATGCCAAAGAATCATGGATTACAGAACAATGTGTAGAAATGGAAAACTATGAAAGAAAGTATGACACGTTCAATATACATAAAAAAGTAAGAGAAATTACAGGAACCCAAAGAAGACGTCAAATAAGTTTGCTTAAGAACAAAGATGGAAAGATTATTATAGATTTAACAGAGAAAATTAATAGATGGAGTGAATACATAAGAGAATTATTTGAGGACAACAGAAATAACATTGTTCTGATATATGGCGAAACGGGACCTGAAATTCTAAAATGTGAAGTAGAAATGGCACTTAAAAATTCCAAAACTGGGAAGGCAAATGGACCGGATGAGGTTCCTACCGAATTGCTAAAGCTCTTGAATGATGAATCAATAGGTATAATATTGCACTTATTTAATACAATATACAATACTGGTATTATACCTCAAGAGTGGCTGTTGTCTACATTCGTTACACTGCCAAAGAAATCTAATGCTAAAGAATGTTCAGAACATCGAACAATATCTTTAATGAGCCACCTACTAAAGATATTTCTAAAAATCATCCACAACCGAGTTTATCAAAAGTTGGAGTCAGATATTAGTAATACACAGATGGGGTTCAGAAAAGGGCTTGGTGCTCGAGAAGCTCTCTTCGGTTTGAATGTTCTTACACAAAGATGCCTAGACGTTAATCAGGAGGTACATACGTGTTTTATCGATTTTGAGAAAGCGTTTGACAGAGTACGCCATGATAAGCTTAGAGAGATTCTTGAAAGGAAGGACATAGATAATAAAGATCTGCGAATAATTCTCAATCTATATTGGAATCAGAAAGCTAACATCAAAATAGAAACTGAAACATCACAAGCAATAGAAATACGTAGAGGAGTACGACAAGGTTGCATTTTGTCACCTCTGTTATTTAATGTATATAGTGAAAGCATCTGTCAGGAAGCCCTTTTACAAGCAAACGGAGGAATCGTAATTAATGGAGAGATTGTAAATAATATTCGATACGCGGACGACACTGTACTAGTTGCAAGAACAGTAGAAGAATTACAAAGATTACTTACAAACATAAATATTGCTTGCAACAATTATGGTATAAATATCAATATTAAAAAAACCAAGTATATGGTCTTCAGTAAAAACATGACACAACCAGCGTATATTAGTATAAACGGCACTCAAGTTGAAAAAGTATCAAGTTACAAATACTTGGGAACTTTAATAAACGAAACTGGAGACCAAAACAGTGAAATAAAAAGACGTATCGAAATTGCTAGGGCCACCTTCATAAAGATGAGAAAATTCTTCTGTAACAGAAATATAAGCATCCCTCTACGATTAAGAATGCTGAGAGGCTATGTATTTAACACTCTATTATACGGTGTAGAGGCCTGGACTCTCAAACAGAACAACATGAAAAATATTGAAAGTTTCGAGATGTGGTGCTACCGTCGAATGCTGAAGATTAGTTGGGTTGAAAGAATAACAAACTGTGAAGTAATACGAAGAATAGGAAAAGACCCAGAGATTTTGTTAACGCTAAAGCGAAGAAAACTCGAATATTTTGGTCACCTGATGAGAGGACATAAATACGCATTACTTCAAAATATAATGCAGGGAAAAATAGAAGGAAAACGGAATCCAGGCCGTAGAAGAATGTCATGGTTGCGGAATTTGAGAGAGTGGTATGGCTGCACCACTAATGAACTCTTTAGGTCAGCCGTAAACAAGGTCAGAATAGCCTTGATGATTTCCAATCTCCGATAGGAGCGGCACAAAAAGAAGAAGAAGATTCATTTCACTAATTTATTTGCATCCATGAGAAATATTAAATTAAAAATGTACTAAATAGATCTTTTTTAATCAGATAATGTCTACTTCCAATTTAACAATGTCTACTAATTACAATGTCTGTTAATTACAATTTAACAATGTCTACTAATTTCATGAACTTATATCTTATTTATTACATTAATTATAATAATAATTAATTAATATATTAATTAATTAATTAATTAATATAATTAATGTAAATTTTATGTACTTAGAAATGAAATGAGAGATCGGGTTGTAAATATTTAGTTTATTTTAATTCACTTTTCACAAATATCACTCAAAATACAGCCAAAATATCGAAAAAACCAATTTTACTAAAAAGTAAACAAACATGGAACAGCATTTGAAGTTTGACGTAGATCCATAAGACAGAGAAATGTAAACAACCGTTGCCATTTATAAATAGTTTTCAGTGCTTCTACATATAAAATAATTGAATGATATCTAAATTATACGTTATTATTAAATGATAATGCACACTATGTGCACACTTTATATTTTGATTACAATTAAATATATTAATCTAACCAATAAAATGATTATTTTGGTTTGAGAGCACCTGTAGAGTATAAAATACGGAGTAATATTTTCAGCGACTCGCGAATAAGAAATTTTAAAACAAAACGTGACAACAGTTGAAGGTTCTGAGAATGTGACCTATTCAAATAATTTTGACTTCACAATTTTATATAAATAACTGAGTCCATCTGTGTTTATACGTCCATGGTTTGTCCTTTGTTCTAGTGCAGTGTTTATACAATTTTATGTTACCACCTATGTTTATTACATTATACGCTTGCTGGATAGCCCATATGTGACGAAATGCCCCCGAAGATGCTATATTAAGCGAGAGTACTTGGACAAGATTTGATCAGAATTGTGCTCGATATAATTGCCTTAATTTTCAAAGTTAATGATCTAATAGTTTTATGGTTTGGTTGCCTTCTATTGGGATAAAGTTCGAAATAGCATTGAGCTTTACGAGAACAAAAATTTTCCTGGGCATACAAACAGATCATATCGCGCATGTCTACATTAGAAAATTCACTATGATGTGGCATTTTACCTCTATCTTAAACAGGTTAATAAAAAACTTAATTACCACTTTGATAAATAATGACTAGCACTACACTTTGACAACTACTGGCAATAAATAAATTCATAGATACGTCTTGACGTTGCCATTAACTTCACAGAATATCTAGATACCTGCTTGTTTTGCGAAAAATTAAATACAGACATGCGTATCATTAAGAAAATACGTTTATTTCGAAAACGGTGTATTTTTTAATTTGAAACAACAATGCCTTTTTGTGTAGAATTGAATGTTATTTCATGTTTTTTTCTTAGAATGTTTATACAGGGCGGACAAAAATTATGGCACATTAATGAACCAATCTTATAGTAGGTGGCGCCACCTAGTGTCAATGATAAAACTAATATCATTTTTATATTAAGCATACTAAATACTAGCAAGATACCAGATTTATCTTAAATCGGTTAAATAGTTTTAAGTATATCCCTAAAAATAATATAAAAAATATTATTGACTTACCCTGTAGAACAAAAACCAGCAACATTTTGCCTAAACAATTTAAGCTCAAACGCTTTATTTGGATGTCAGCTATCACCCATTAGCTTATGTCCAATTAATTATGGGACACCCTATACACAACATTTATTTATTAAAAAGATATTTGTAGTATAATTTATTGATAAATATAATTATTTAAATTTTTTTACCATACACTGGATTGCCAGTTTAACACGTACATTATTTACAGTTAAAAACACAAGCAAAAGAAAAACTTTCCGAAGCTGAAGAGAGCAGCTTATTTGCTCCTTTTGATAAGGTTAGTTACAAACTGACTTTATTTCATCACTGAAAACTCATATTAGTGCTTCTAGTTCACTATTTAGCATATATAATTTATATACACGTATAATAACACACACATATAGAGAATAAGACATTGTCTACAAAATTAATATTTAATTCTATTTTTTAGTTAACAACACAAGCTAAAAAAGCCGCGGAAGAAGCTACTAAGAGCGTTCAAGTAGCTGGAAAGAGTGCTATTGAAGCAAGTAAGACTGCAACTGCTATGAGTAAAACCACTTTGGATGATTTGACTTATGTAGGAAAATCAACATTTGGAGATTTGACCAAAAGTGCCAAAGAAGTCGTTGCGAAGAAAGGATTGTTACGGGTAATATACCATTTTTTTATAACTTAATGTATTTGTTTATTTTGGTAAATGTCCCTATTTTTACACTGATCTGGACTTATTGTGGTATTCATTTATAAAATTTTAGATCTTTTTTTATTTTTCTTTCTTTTCTACTATCATTTCCTTTATCTAGTCATACTGCCTTTCTCAATAGGAGATTATATTAATTCAAAATATTATATTTTCCCCAATTGCCTTTTTCACTTCTCTCATTTTTTTATGACATCACAAATAAATTTACTCTTATCTCTTCTGTCAATTTACTAAGCTGTTCTCCGGAAAATTACAAAGGAATTAATTTATTAAACACAACACTAAAATTAACATCCAAACTGATAACTAATGAACTGAATGAAATAATAGCATAAGCAGAAGAAAAACAAGGTTTTAGCTCGGAAGGATCATGCACTGATGCTATATTTATAATGAGGCAAGTGCAAGAGAAATCATTAGAATACAACAAACCAGCATATCTATATTTAGACGACCTTAAGAAGGCAGTTGATCAGGTCAAATTAAAGAAAGTTATCTACTTATTGTACGCAAGGGAGATACCTTTAGTAATAACCAAAACGATTGAAAATATCTACGTAACCAACACAATAAAAGTAAAAGTAGAAGAAAAACTAACTGAACTTATTGAAGCTGAGAATGGGATAAAGCAGGGAGATTCCCTGAGTCCTCTATTGATCAACCTGCTTATGGATGAAATAATAAAAAAGTAAGAACTAAAAAAAGATACCAAATAGAAGAAAAACAACATAAAATAATCTGTTATGCAGACTAATTATTATGATTAATACCGCATACTGCACCAATTTAATATATCTACCAGAAAATTTAGCAAAAGATAAAATGCATGGTTATAACAGCAAATTTATTAATATGTAAATTGGAGATAGAAGGTCAGATAATAGAGCAAGTGATGGAGATTAAATATCTAGGCATCACATTATCTACCTACATAAAGCTCAAAACAGAAGTGGAAGATCAAGTGACAGTACAGAGCCGCAGGTTGCTCGAATGAAACAATATGGAAAAATAAAACTATCGGGAAAGAATTGAAAGTCAGAATTTACAAAACAGTCATTAGACCAATAATTACAGACGCGGCAGAAACAAGACCTGATGCAGAGAGGACAAAAGCAGAGATGAAAAATTGATGGTACAACACAATGGGAAAGAGCTAGAAGTACAAATATACGACGTAGATGCAATGTGGAGAACATCAAGGACTGTGTAACAAATAGAAAAGTATAATGGAACGATCATATAAGCCAAATGAAAACAAATAGAGTAGTAAAGAGGGCAAGAGACGGTTCGCCAATAGGAAGACGATCAGTAGAAACACCACGAAAACGATGAAACAATAACTTACTGAAGGCATATTGAAAAACAGACAATTTTAGACATTATGATGTTACACTTTATTGATATTGTGAAGATTAATTTCTTTTTTGAAATAAAATCGTCTACATTAAAATTCTTATTTTAACGTTATTCGACGTTTCCATTAATCTCAGTCATTCAAAAGGTACCCATGCAAGTAAGTTTTTCTGCCTCTAGGTGGCCATTTACGAGATGTTTGTGCTAGCACTTTCTCTTCCACTGGCATCACAACTTTACTATTGGCTTCCCACCAGTCATTTACCGTATCTTTTCCTCAAGTTCTTTCAGCACTCTATTCTTAACGAATCTTGCCAAATCCTTATTCTTTAACTTTTAACACTTTGCTTTCTGGTGTCTTACTTGCTCTTCTTTCTCACAGAAAATTTTGTCGTACAAATTTATTAAAGCTGGTGCCATTCGTATTAATATGGCACTCTCGCATGACTTTTTCTAGTGCAAGGTTAAATAAGAGACACGACAGTCCATCTTCCTGTCTCAGTCCATTTTTACAATGGAAGGGTCTTCAAAAGTCATTTTGGATTCTGACTACACTCTCTACGACTATAAGTGTAAGTTTCGTTAGTTGAACAATATGAACCGGCATTTGAAATTCCACCATAGCCTGTAGAAGTTTTTGTGTGTTGACTGAGTCATATGCGGTTTTAAAATCCACGAATATGTGGTAAATGTCGACTCCGAACTCAAGCGTTTTCTTAAGAATCTGCCTGACTGTGAAGATTTGATCTGTTGTTGATTTATTGGGTCGGAAAACGCACTGGTGGTTCCCAACTATTTGTTCAGCATAGGGGATCAATCTGCTGTACAATACGTTGGACAATACTTTATATGCCACATTGAGTAGGGTGATGCCTCTATAATTATCACACACCATCATATCTCCCTTTTTGTGAAAAGGGTGCATTACACCTAATTTCCAGTCTGCGGGCGTTTCCTTCCGTTGCCAGATTTCGGTTACTAATTTAGGTATGTGTTTAAAAAGGGTGTCACCACCATTTTTAAAGAGTTTGGCAGGAAGATTGTCCAAACCAGGGGCTTTGTTATTTTTCAGTTTTAAAGCTTCTCTAATTTCTTCTTCGGTGGGGGGCGGCTGTTGAGCGTTTTCATCCATTTCAGGCAAAGTAATTTTTATTAGGTCTTCCTCACGACTGTCACTAAGCAGTTTTTCAAAATGATTCGCCCAACTGTTTAGTATCTAAATTGATATAAGGTTAAATGCTCGAATAAATGAACTTTGATCAAATAAAAATTTTATTAATTAAATCTTGCCCAAGTACTTTCGCTTCCTAGAGCATCTTCAGGGGCATTTCGTCAATTATGGCCTATCCAACAAGAATTGTAGTTGTAGTGTGATATACAATTTTATGTTTATAACATTTTATGCGTGTTAGATAGGCCACAATTGACGAAATGCCCCTAAAGATGCTGTAGGAAGCGAAAGTACTTGGGCTAGATTTAATTAATAAAACTGCGCTCGATATCTATCTTTTATTTAATCAATATTTAGTATCTGTTTTTTGTCACTAATTATGGAACCATCTCTGTTTTTACATGCTGTTATTCTGGGTTTAAATTTTTTTATGCAGCTGTTTATCTTCTTGTAGTATTTTCGCGAGTCTTTTTTATTGTGGTGGTTAACAATCTCGTTTATAGCGTTTTCGTATGGCTCTTTCTTTTTCCTTCTAAACGTCCTTTTTTCTTCTCGTCTAAAATTTTCATAGTCTTCCAGGTTTGATCTCGTTCTGCGCTGCTGAAGTCTCTTATATACTTCATTTTTCTGTTGGTTAATGGATCTACATTCTTCTTCAAACCAATTGTTGTTTATTTTAGCCTGCTTAGGTTTTAAAAAGCCTTTAGCCGCTGTATGGCTAGCTTATTTGCATTTGGTTCAGTGTTTTTCTATACTTAAATTTTCGTCGATTCTTGTCAGCTCTTCATTTAAAATTTTTCTGTAGTTATCCCTAGCGTTTTCAGATTTTAGCACATCAGTATTATATTTTGTAGATTTTGTGCTCTGGCCCTTCTTACCGTTTGATATACGAGCCCTGAGTTTTGTTCTTATAAGCTAGTGGTCAGAATCTATATTAGCACATCGACATGCTCGTACATCTAGTACGTCCGAGAAATGTCTACTATGGATTAGTACATGGTCAATTTGGTTTTTTGTTTGACCCACTGATGATTACCATGTGGCTTTGTTGATATTTTTGTGAGGAAAACTTGTACCATTTGTATTAAACTAAACCATTTTGGTTGCTGACAACTTTGCTCTTCTTTCTGCGTCACCTTTATCTTCGTATTTACTGTCATTGGTCGTTGTTGACTAGCTACACACTCATCCTTTATCACTCTACAGTTGGTATCCTTTTTTAGCTGACTTCTACACAGCACAAAATATATCTGACTTTCACGTTACAAGAGGTAACGACAGCTAAATCTCATATCACTGCAAATACAATCACACTATTATTTCCTTCATCAATTCTTATTTTAATCCCCAAACCCCTATGAACTCTTTCTATTCCCCCTCATTCTCTACCAATATATCCATTCAAATTACCTCAAAAAATAAAAAACTCTTGGTCTTACAGGAATCTCGAGCATCTCACAATCAAAGGTCCTCCAAAATTCTTCTTGTTCCTGTTCTTTGCACCCTACTTATGGGGCGTAGGCACATTTTATTTGCACGTTGGTATTGATGTATTCAGTTGGTCACTCATTTTTCTATCCCTTCTTCTGGTTACTCTACTTAGTAGTTTTTCAAAATATTAGTCTGTTTCATCCCATTATTGATATGATTTAAAATACACATGCCAATACAACCGAGAGTCTTCCTGGTCAGTTACTTAGCTGTTGGGAATCAACGTTGAACTGTAGGTGCTATATATTTGTATATACTTAATTAAACACAACGTCGAAAAATATATAGAGAGACAGATAACGTCCAAATCCAGTATGATAACGTATCCAAAATGTTACAATTTAAAAGATTAAACTTAATTTATTTTGTTTTAATTTTAGGGTGATTCTTTTTCAAAACAAGAACCATCTAGTAACACACAAGTTGTTGCAACTTCTAATGTATTAACAGGAGCTAGCAGAGATTTTTTCTCGAATATTAGTTCTGATATTAATGGTTTAGCAACGTCTACAACCAATATGTTTTCGGATCTGTTCGGTAGCAAAAAGGAGCAACAAAAATCTGTGGAACATAAACAACAACAACCAAAACAAAAAGAAACTTCAACATCTAAAGGAATGTTCGGACCTTTCAATCGAGGTCCTAAAGGATTGGCGGAAAAGAGTCCTTTAATAAAGCATATGCCCAGAAGACAAGATGAGGCGCAGTGGAAACAAGCAGCCGATAAAAATGCTACTAATAGCGAAAATCAGGCGTTCCTTAAGGATGTAAGTAACTTAATTTACATATTTTTTTTATCAAATCGGGATGGTACCAACTACCATAAATAAATTGGTTTTATACAGATGCCGCTTACATTTTACATTTTAATTCTATTCTTCTAGTTAATGAGTAGATCCCAAAGTTCTGAAACATTTATTTTTTATTGTATACAGATTGGTATGTCTATTTGTCAATGGAGACAGCAGACTAATAATATTTAGGGTATCACTACGCCCTGACAAGGGCTAAAGGATTGAGGAGGAGGAGGATGTCTATTTGTATAAAAGTATATGTACCTAATATTTGAAATATTTGTTAATTTTGCAACTTATTTCACACTTTAAGAGTTATAATAATTAAATCAAAATGTGTATTTCAAAAATAAAACGTGGAAACTTTGCCAACTGATCAAGATAGATCATCCTTGACAATTAAAGATTAAATATTTTTTGTGTTGGTCTGAGGCATAGTTCCAAAATATTATAATCTCAATATTGAACAACCGTGATACGATGTGATGATTATGATCTGGGAAAAGAAACATTTCATCTAAAAATTGTCGCCAAATATAAATCTCAACAGTCTATAATTTTGTTAAATTGAGAATGACATTAAATTTTTTTTTTCGTTTTTCGTTTTTAAAGTGAATTTTCTACAGTAATATCATCATCATCTTTGGCTTGACAATCCTCTGTGAATCCTGGCCTGCTCTAAGATTAGTCGCCATTCTGTTCGGTTTATCGTAACGTGTTGCCATCTTTCAATCTCTAGTATCACTATGTCGGTGTGAACTCCATTCTTCGTCCTTCTCTTCTTTTTCTTTCTACAGGTGTTCCTGTCGTTAGTTTTTTACCAATCATGTTATCAGGCATTCGTATTATATGTCTGGCCCATCTAAGTCGTTGTGTTTTAATGGACTTTTATGGATGTTTCATCTGGTTCGTTAAGGAGTTGGTATAATTCAAAATTAAATCTTTTACGCTACTGTCATTAATCGTTCATAGCTCCAAATATTTTGAATTAGTATCTTATGATCGAATATTCCCAGAAGTCTTTCATCATTTTGCGTTAGAGTCCATGTTTCTGCCCCGTATGTGAGGAACGGCCTTAGCAGTATTTTGTACATAAAAATTTTAGTTTTTATTTGGAAATCTCTTGAGTGAAATTGTTTTTGGAGTCCATAGTATGCTCTATTTGTAAGGTTTATTTGTCTTGTAATTTCTTTGCTTGTTTTAATGGTAGTAGTCACTAGCGAGCCAAGGTAATGTGAAGCTGTCAACACGTTCAAAGATATGGCTCCAAATGCTCTTTCCCGTTCTTCATTTGCTATAGGATCCTTAGTAAACAACATGTACTTGGTTTACCGTTTCCAATTCTAGAAAATATTGCTCAACATCTCGCTTGCTGCGCCCTATTATGTCAATATTATCAGCGTATGATAAGATTTGTATCAATCTATTGTAAATAGTATCACCGTCTCTAATTCTTTTGTCTCTTTTTTCTGCCTTTTCCAAGGCAATATTAAATACGAGACAAGCCATGACATCCCCTTGTATTAGTTCATCCTTTATCTCAAAGGATCGAGAATTTCCTCCCTGTATCCTAACACTGGCTTTTAAGTTAGACATTGTCATTTTTGTTAATCGGATAAGTTTTTCTGGTGTACCAACCTCACGCATTGATTGGTATAGTACTGTTCTCTTGACACTGTCGTATGAGGCCTTGAAATCGACGAATATGTGATGGGTTTTAATGTTAAATTCTAATCTTTTCTCGAGGATCTGTCTTATTGAATGAATCTGGTCAATAGTTCATTTTTTTAGAGTAAATCCAGCCTTGTATTTTCCAACAATGCCAACTGTTTAAACTTGTAGCCTTTTGTAGAGAATATTTGCTAGTATTTTGTAAGCAGGTATTAACAGGGTTATACCTGTATAGTTATCACACTATAGCTGATCGCCTTTTTTAAGTAGCGGGCATATCACGCCTTGAGACCATTCACAGGACATGGTCTCATTTTGCCAGATAAAAAGTAAACGTTTATGCAGATCGCGTAGCAGAGCATCGATACCATTCTTATAGAGCTCACTACAAATTTGATTTGATCAGTTCCTGATGCTTTATTATTTTAAACTTTTTAATGACTTGTCTTTCGTTTAAGTTCAATAGATTCCAATCATTTCGATCTGCTTCTTACTCAGGTTGCTAGGGTTTACTGCGTGGAGATGAGAGTCGGAATTGAGTAGGAGAGGCTAGAGTGACACTAACAGGATACAGCTTCATATTTTGTGCACCACTGCCCCATTTAAACCCGACTATAATATAGTATAGGTAAAATTGTTAAATTCGCACTTGATTCACCTTTAAAATACAATATCCTGGACTCTGAGATTGACAACAGTTGAGCGAGTGGTAAGGGCGAGCTCAACCATCTAGCTAAAGAACCGGTACTGACTGACGGTATTTGATCATTAATGGTCAACGTCGAATTTCTGCGTGTCTGTTTAAGTTTATATCATCATCATCATCACCATCATTAATTAGCCTATATTTGTCCACTGCTGAACGTAGGCCTCCCGTAAAATGTTCCACCTATTTCTATTTTGAGCTTCTTTATAGTTTAAATGTATATACAAAGTAACAAAGCAAAATATATTGTTTCATTTGTATTTTGAATTTCGTATTTTGAATTATATATTGAACGATTTCGGAAGTGAAAATCGAAACGTCAAATAAACGTTTTTTTTTAACTGACGAGAGAACAAAATAATATAAAAATTGTTGTGTCTTGTATACATTTGTATAAATTTACAAAAATTAAAAACACATATTTCTAAAGATGGAATTAAAAACAATTTAAAGTCAGTTAATTAAAAGCCATTTTCAACCTAAGGGAGTTCAAGGTGACGATAATTAATTGTATTTAAGAAGTTTAATTTTTAATTCGTTTTAGGTAATCACGAGTGTTCTTGATGGAGAAGGTGTCGGATGGCTAAAACTGAATAGGTTGAAGAAACTCATGGAGGATGAATCGTACCGCAATTTTGTTTTGAGTAAAATAAATAAAACTCTGGATAGAAAGATAGCTCCTGACGATCATATCGACGATGTGGTGAGTTAAGCTACATATTTAATTTCTAGTTCAGGCATTTAAAAAAAATATTGTTCTTTATAAACGATTTTCTACAAAGGTTTTTTTAACGTGCTGAAATGATACGGGTTATATTAAGTTTAAAAAGCTTCTTATTTACATATTTCGAAATATACCTAAATAGGGGTTTTTACGTAATAAAATTCGTTCCATGTTACCAAAAATGTAAAAGGGTGACGCTCTTCCATTAGGGATCTATGGAGGAGTATCACCAAGCCGCGAGACCTTATCTTTTGCCGTACTGCTCCACCCTAGAACGATCAGTCATTAGCGTATTCTAAACTATGTAGAATTTTAAACTACTACGTCAGTCCAAGCTTTTATTAGAGCATCCTACACTTGCCACTTATGCTACACATGTCATGTCTTCTTACATTAGCAGACTAGAGTTAAGCTCATACGCTTTAGCAAAATGCGAGTTGACCGCCTGCCCCACTTGGTTCTCCGTTCGGCTCGCGAAGATAAGAATACGGCCAAGGCCAGAAGACCCTGCCTGTCTTAAGAGGCGACTAATTGGAAGGTAATGAGAGGTAAAGAGCCGTCGTTCGAGGTGTCGGGTTTGTAGAAACGTACTTTGGATGCTTGGTCATCTCGGTCACCGGTTTACACTCCTAGTATCCGAGGCGAGCATCTCGTGGGACCACTCTACTCTTATTCCACAAGATCCAGGTGAGGTTGAACGAGCTGGGCCTGTATATACCTCTCACAGCCTTACACCACCGAGAGTGGTGTCGGTGTCTCGGCACGTACCCACCTGGATGATTTAAGAGTGGTAGAGGAGTGATACTTGGCGACGACCTGTCTACGTGCGAGGTGGAATTTCTCCGCCTGCGTTATCTTTTTGCCCCCGGGAGGATCTTCGGATCTTCGGACAGGTGACGTACCTGCAACACAGGTACTACGGGTAAGGTGGAGCCCCACGATGTTTCGGCATCGTGCCGCCTTATTTGGTGTCGGACTCATAGGGGCAGTGGAGTCACTTACAGTCGTATGCCTGAACCGATCAGGAAGACCAGGGTCCTGACAAATCTTTATTTGGAGGGTCACGAATCACTCGATGCCTCACTTGGCTTGATGTCTAACGGTGGCGATAGAATACTAGGAAAGCGAGGTGAGTTTGAGGTGCCGGAATCGCAGAAACGCACGAGGATGCTTTAAGTCTTGGTAAATGGTTTGGAGTCATGGTATCAGAGACAAGCTTAAGTAGAGTCACTGTACTCTCATTCTGCAAAAGCAGAGTATGGTTATACAAACTGCAACTCATACATCTCTCCCGAGCTGGACGTAAGTCTGCGATACGTACCCACTATGGAGAGGAGTGGCAGAGGAGGCTCCTCATCCATAACCTGTCCAACTACGTATTGGCATCGGATTCACTAATGGTCATTTGTCAAAAGGCCGGGGATCGTAATCTTGCTTACCATAATTTTGAGAAAGAGGGGCAAGATGAAATACGTTCCTTTGAAATTTAGGAAAGGAAATATTTTCCTTTCCTAAATTTCAGCAACTATTTACTTTCGCTTTTATATGCTGTAGCTTATTTTTCAGTAAGTCCATTCTCTTACTTTATCTTTGCTATTGTATCCTTTATCCTCAAAACATTTTATAAATAGATTTAGATAGAGACATTGTGCAATGCTATTTTTCTTGTAGTATATTTTACCAGGAAGCAATATTCTAATCAGGTATTAAAAAAATCCACAAGGAAAAATTCCTGTAGCTGGCTGTATACCACGTATAACAAAAAGAGGTTAATCTTTGTAAGTGGGTATATTTATTTAAAAAACCCTTAAAAGGGCCACATCAATAGAACAAACGTTTTCGGACTAAACAGTCCATCATCAGGTTATTAAAATCGAAAATGCTAGGTCATAATGCCTGAGCCACCAAAATATTAGGGTGAAAACCCTTTAAATTACATTTAGTTATGAAATTATTTACATTGTGTTATAAAATAACTGTGATGTTCTATATTAAATTAAATTTGACCAAAGGTAACACATGGCTCAAATGGGTTCCAGAGCCGGGCGAGAGGCAACCTCTGCGCTCGGAGAACAACGTGGAACTGAGTTAGTGTTCCACGTTGTTCTCCGAGCGCAGAGGTTGCCTCTCGCCCGGCTCTGGAACCCATTTGAGCCATGTGTTACCTTTGGTCAAATTTAATTTAATATAGAACATCACAGTTATTTTATAACACAATGTAAATAATTTCATAACTAAATGTAATTTAAAGGGTTTTCACCCTAATATTTTGGTGGCTCAGGCATTATGACCTAGCATTTTCGATTTTAATAACCTGATGATGGACTGTTTAGTCCGAAAACGTTTGTTCTATTGATGTGGCCCTTTTAAGGGTTTTTTAAATAAATATACCCACTTACAAAGATTAACCTCTTTTTTTTTTTTTTTTTTTTTTTTTTTTTTTTTTTTTTTTTAATCAGGTATTAAGCAAAAAATAGATTTCCTAGAGACATGTCGTCTATGTCATATATATATTTAATGCGCCAAATTTTAGACAAAATCAAAATATATGGGATAGTGTATTTCGTGCTTTTTAATCCTATAAAGGCCTACAAAGCTGATGAAAAGTCTGCTGTCTAAAACGCTGTAATACAGCGTTTTAGACGGTTTTACAACGGTCGGTTCAAGCGTTGTTTGTGAGAGAACAGTTCATTCTACACAAAAATTGATAATAAACATTTTTGTTGAGAATTACAGCTACATTTTTTATTTGAAACATTTTTTGCGACGGTGTACAGATTCTTAGTAAATCGATTTTTTTGCGTTTTTAACCTCATACGAGGGGGATTTTTGGAGGAATCCCATGGCTAAATGTGGTACACTTTTTTGCATTTTTTTGGGGTCCCAAAATTAATATTTTCGGCAAAATTTAGCTTGTTCGTAGGATTTAAAGGGGTCAACTCTCTGACAACTGGACAACAACTTTTAGGCCTTTTTAAGATTGCCTTTAATCAGATATGGCCAGAGAATCGTAAATTGTTTAATCTTTTACCATAATGGTGGTTTTCCTATTCTCTCAAATATTGCAACAGCTATTTTGACGTATTCAAATCGTTTTATTCTCTCTCTTAACACAAGATACTGAAATGAAAGAAATCAGAAAATTAAAAAACTATTTTTAAATAAATTTACTTTACTTAAAATCACTAAAAATATTTTTCATCATACATGTTGTCAAGTTTTTTGATTTACATTTAATTTGCCGATTTAAAATAATTCTTTTTTCTTTTAGTGTATTCCAAAACCCGTATGGAAAGGAATGCTGAAAGTATTATTAGCTATAGTCCATGGACTAGAGGTGACTTTTGGCAATTTTGGTTTAGGAGGAATGGCATCTGCTTTTCAGTTGTGCGAGATAGCTCATACTCATTATTGGTCAAAAGATTTGGGTGAATTTAGCGGTCCGGATTTGACACAGGTAAATTATCTTTATCTTTATAGATTAAGTTTATTTTCGGTAAACCATTATTTCTAATTTCTACTATACACGATTTGGACAGGCATGTTGGTACAGGTTTAATGTTTGTCAAGTTATAACGGTCGTTATGTAGGATTGTTCAAAGTAGCAAAATTATATAAATCGATACCTTCTTTTTTCAGTATTATATAACAATTAAGCAATACCTAAATAAATATGTCGTTTTCTTTAGATTAGACACCAGATTAATTTTTTTTATTTCTTTCCCTATATTTATATTAGGTTTTATATCCCTTCATATTTTTTATTTAACCTTCCTAATTCCCGTTGTGAATTAAATTACAATTTTTTTATTAATTCGTAGGAGCCTTTGTAGTTTCATGTTATCGATGTATCAAAACTAAAAACATTTTTTTTGTTATAAAAAATATAATAAAACTTTATATTCAATTAAAATTATAAATTTATTTAATGCAACTTTTACAAAAGATATTTGAATGATCAGGACAAATAAATCTCTTACATGCTTGACATCTTGTACGAAATTTTCTGTCTTTTTCCCATCGCAGTCTTTACACCTTCCACGTTTTGGACTTTCATTTGAATTTCCACTTGTTCCAGCTACTGCATGTAAATTTATTTGGATTTTTTGTGGAACGTTTGTTGTCAATCGGGTAGTGCGGCATTTTTCTGTTAAATTATATGCAATTCTTAAAAAAAGCCTTCTTTTATGTAGTTTGTTCCTATTATATATAACACATATGCGTTAATTACTGCCAAATCTAAAATATTATAAAATAAGCAAAGTGACCACCTTCTAATTCCCCTTTTTTAGGTATGAGCTGACGCTAATTTATCTGTTGTATCTACACCTCCATCGAGGACAAAAGAATAACAGATTTACCCTTTTTAGGACTTTATCAAACTAAAGTCATATTCTCCTGAAATCCAAAAATTGAAGAAAGAGCTTCTTTACTTTCATTTGGTAGAAATTAAACTAGAATAAAAGTTTTGTTCTTTTGTAATGTTTCAATTAGTGTTAGTTTACGTTTTAATAATTTAGTCGCTAAATGGTAGTCAGGAAAGTAAATTATCCGTGGTTTATGACGGGTAGCTCTTTAGAGACGACAGACTCAGTAAAACACAGGATGAAAATAAAAATAAATCTATTAATTTAACGTATATACAATAAATAAACATAAAATGTATTCTATGTCCCCGTCTGGATCCCGCGACGAGTGAACTTCCCGGCGAACGTCTGTAAAAGAAAAAAAATTATTATTACTAACAAAGAAATAAAATGCGCGAAGTCTATAGCACGCAGACTTATACTCGCTTCCACCTCAATTCAGCGGAAGCTCCAAACGCACTAGCAAACAAAATATTTGGTTGTGCAGATCTACGGTAACGCTCAATTCACGATACCGATGGGTTCTGCTTAGTTAAGGACAGAGTACGATCCTTAATACGAAAATCTCTCTGTCCGGGTTAGCTAGCGGGTTCACTACACCAGCGAGACAGGGAGCCTAGAGCGCTAGCTACAAGACTATCTAATTCCCCCAGTCGCTCGCCTTAAATAGCCGCTTCGAATCCCACTTCGTCGTCTCGTCGTAGAAGTGGATGCGCGAATATCGATACTCCCGCGCTTCGAACTGTTGAATGATCAGCACATCGTTACAGGTTATGTTTCGCCTAGAATTCTAAACATCTTTTATAAGTTGTAAAACCACATTTCTGCCCTGATGTACGTCACGGGGGTGATTTTGTGCTTTTCCTGTATACACTTCAGCACAATACACATACGCAGTTTTGACATCAGATAAAAGCCATAATTTAATTCCATATTTCCCACGTGGTTTTGTTGGAATATACTGTCTGAAGGGACATTTACAAGTTGTTCGTCGACAGTGAGGCTTTCATATGGAGCAAACATTTTGGGAAGTGGTGCTACAAATAAATCAAAAAAACTTCTAGTTGAAGCCAACTTGTCATGCGTCCGTCGAATAGGGCGATCCTCTTTATTACCAAATCGCAAAAAGCGGCTACAGCGGCTTTGACATCAAATAAAAGCCATAATTTAATTCCATATTTCCCACATGGTTTTTTTGGACTATACTGTCTGAAGGGACATTTACCTCTAAATGGTACAAGTTGTTCGTCGACAGTGAGGCTTTCATATGAAACAAACATTTTGGGAAGTGGTGCTACAAATAAATCAAAAAACTTCTAATTGGAGATAACTTGTCGTGTCTCCGTCGAATAGATCTATCCTCTTTATTATCAAATCGCAAAAAGCGGTTAATGTTACAAAATTGTTTCAGATACATAGTAGCTCTAAAAATGGGCCTACCATCAGTATTGCTCTAAAGTTCCTGCAGGGATTTTCCGACACCTTTATGAACACCAGCCAGAAAAAGTAAACCTTGTTTAAAAAGGCAAAATTTCAAGTTAATTTATTTTATAACTGTAATGAAAATATTTACCTATAAAAGCTTCTAACTCTTTCAGTGATATTTCTTTTATAGTTAACATTTTTTATTACATATGGGACTACGTACTCTGTTAGTTTCCACTAAGAGTAAATTAAGCATTTCATCGGTGAAAAACGATCTCATTGAAAATATAGGTTCATCGGTCATTCGTTGAATGGCATATCTGGTGGGACCTGGCACAGGATTTAGTATATTGATGAATCTAAACAATATACAACGCAATTAGCAAAACCCACAAATTTAGTAAGAAAACACGTGGATAAGGTGGTGGATATTTGTTACAAACTGTCCCATCACGAGCAGTATATTGTAAACCTTCTTGTTCAGGAACTTCCATTTAATTTTCCGAATTTTCGCTTTTATTTTTGTCATCGTCAACCGTAGATACATGATCTTCTTCAGAAAATTCTTCCTCTACTAGGTTCATCACTAGTAAAGGTTTCTAAATTGGTAGATTCATCTTCATTTTCTGAGTCTTCTTCAAGGATTTTTCGTAATTCCTCTTCTCTGAGTCCTCTCATGAAGCTCATTTTTCAGCAAAAGCTTATTATTCTGTTTTTCACAAATGATTGTATACCACACTCTCAACTATAAACTTCAAGCGATCAAGTCTGGTACAACACTAAAGATACTAGACAAACGCTTCCGAAAATAGAACCCATAAAATCTAATCACTCTTCTTAGAACAATAAACAAAACAAACATCACTTACATTTGGAAACACTTCTGGGTACAGGTGGACCCAAAAACAACAGATGTGTTTCTTTCATTTTAAGTATTTCCAAACTGATATTTCAAAACGCAAATACGTTAAATTGTATATAAACCTTATCTTAAGGATATCATGAAACATCACGTCTCAAATTTACGATATAATAAATATATAAACATTTGAATTTTACTACTGGGTCCAGGTGTACCCAGAGACAATACAAAGGTTAACTACAACAAAATATTATTTTAGAGTTCTAGTCCAAGATCTCCACAGAGTCCCAGATATTCGATACAATCTTCCGACTGGGAGGGATCAAGAAAATCATCACAAACAGGTAAATAAAGTAACTTACGTATTATTTAAACGATTTACGTTTCATTGATATTTTAGACCCACCAGAGGTACGTTTAATTCAGGGAGATGACTCAGAGAAGGAACAAACAACGACAGAAATTTTTAAAGACATGATTACTCAGAAGAAAAATATGTTGCTTAGCAAGCTAACGTCGTTTGATTCGGATGTAAGTATTCACAATCCACAAATTTTAAATATAAAGCATGGTTTTGTGTTTTGGGTTGTTCCTTGTAAAAGATACTGGTTTATGATTACATACCAGAGGTTTTCGATTGTCTATACTTCATTATGTATTTGTACTGTTACACTTTAAAATCTATTTTTAATCTTACACATATACTTATTTTTAAATGTTTATATATTTTCCTGTTTAAGTAACTGTTTTGTTACGCATAGTGATTCAAAAATAGTGACCGTTTGGTTATTCCCCCGACATTTACACTTAAAAGCAAAGTTTCTGACTGTTCCGAAGTATATAAATATTAGTGCATTTAGAAAACCTATTATATACCTACTACTAAAAACATAAATAACTACTAAAATATATTATACAAAAGCAAACCTATCCAGCATCAAATAAACAGTTAGATAATTAAGGATCATAGTTTGTGTTTAATTTTCAATACGATCTTAACTCTTATCTTAACTGCCATAGCCAAAAATAATAACATCTATACCATGCCGGGGTCAGATTTGACCCCATTGTTTTTTGTATAAAAAATCTTACTTTTTTAAACTTTAAAAAATGGGGTGATCATTTAACCCATTTGTGAATCATGTAACCGTATCTGCCGTGTTGGGTTCTAATTCAGTTCAGCATAATCCATGTGTTGCGTGGTTAAGTCAAAACCTGGTGGTTTTTGTGTGATGCAGGGTAAGCTGCTATTTTGTTGTTCAATTAATTCTGGAGTACAGTGGTCTTTAATTTGAACTCATTTTCCACAGCAGTCTGTGCTTTTTAAATCATGAATGTTTTGTTTGTGTGAGTCCATTTTAAATAGGTAAAGAAATAATAAATAAGACTTACTCACCATCAATTTAATTTAACTATTTAGACGATTGTCTCCAAGACTGAGATGTAGTGCATAAAATTCCTTCCACCTTTTTAAATTTAATGTTTGTTTCGTCCCTTCTAAGTGTTTTCTGTTCCTGTGTGTTTAAATTGTCCTTAATGGTTTTAACTTTAATATTTTTACATACTTGACTTTGCAATAATCTACCATTTTGCCAATAGAACTTTATCAAAGAAATTTGATAATTACAAGTTGAAAGAATTGCGCACCCACACAATTTGTACATCTAATCTTATTCATTGTCATAAAATTGTCACCTTCATAAAATAAATACTCAATAAATAACACACATTTCATAAATACATCTCTTGAATAAGTATAAATAACTTTTAAATAATACAATGGTATATAACATCACTTTCATCTAACAAACAATCACATTAAACCTATCTCTACTTCATTGGATCAAATCTATCTCCTCAAGAACTTCCCGTTTATTTTTAAACAAATACAATAGCAGATTTAAGTTCTCCATTGAACAATACATGATAGTTTTAACCATGTTCTACCATCCATCAATTAATAGAGTACCGGCATCATTTATTTAACTCTGTATCGAGATCTGAAGATGCTTTGCATATTGTAGAAAGCGAAACCGGTCGTCTGAATAGTTAATTAAATTGGTTGTGAGTAAGTCTTATTTATTATTTCTTTACATATCTGCGCTTTTTATTGGCGAACGTCTGGAGCATGGACGGTTACCGTTGGTAGCATCTATGTCTTGATGGATTGACAGGATCTCGTTACTAAGTATCTTTCTGTACTCACTAGTGAGGGAGTGTATGCACCGTAGTTTTGTGGTGAAATGTGGCTCAGAACTGGAAGCCATTGCGTAGGGATGGAGTTGATATTGCCAGCAATCATTATCATTATATTGTTCCACTGGGCATTTACTTTTTATATATTAAGCCAGGCTGAAGGGCAGTGGAAGCCGATACTCCCCATGTTGTGTCGCACATCTTCTGGATATTGTTGTTTCTGGATTTAAGTTTTTCCGCTGTTTTTGACAGTTGTTGACAGTTGTTGACAGTTTTTGACAGAAGTTGTTTCTTGAAAGACAGGGTTCTGTTAAAAGCCACCTCAAGGTACTTTGGTGTTTTATTGTAGGCGAATGTGGTGTTTTCAAATTGAATGTTGAGGGTTATTTCTGCAAGCTTGTTGTTTAGGTATAAACTGGAAAGTTCTGTTTTGGTAGGCTTTGGTTTTAGTTGGAGCCTCCATTTACGGAACTACTTTCCCACTGTGCCTAAGTCCTTGATCTGGTTTCTGGTATATCAGCGATGTACAGAAAAGAGAAGCTAGGAATGATCCCTGAGGCAGTCCATTCTTCAGTGTTCTTAGGGTATTGATGTCGGTTCCCATGACTTCCTGAACGGTTCGATCGGCCAGCATGCTGCTAATTATTTGAGCGGTGGATTTACAGGAGATTGTACGGATGAGCTTAAATATCATGCCTTCTCTCCAGACTGTATCGTAGTAAGGTCTATGAATGCGACTTCAATTTTAAGTTTTCTCTCCAACCCTGCCTCAATAAATGTGGTAAGTGAAAGAACCTAGCATGTGCAGCTTCTTTTTGGTCGAAAACCTGCCTGATCAACCGGTATTAATTCAAGTAGTTAGAGTTATAATTAAATGTTAGATTTGCCGTTTCAGAGATTGACTGTCTGCCACAGAGCAGTAATTTTTGGACGAAAAATTTTTGGCGCCGTACATTATTAATAGTACATTCTCAAGCATCAACTGGTTTCTCTGGCATACTAGCTCTAGCTTTTCTAACAATATCAGGTTAACAATTAATAAAATTATGTTTACATGTATTTGAAAAATAGGAGGAGATTAAGCCAACTTTTACTCATTTTGGCCATAAAACGTACCCTAGAGTCAGCTCTATCATATTCTTCACCCAAATATTCACAACCAATTTTGCAATTATTAATTTGCCAATTTTTTTTGTCGTTATCATCGAATTCCTTTTTATTCTCATGATCGTTATATTCACTAGCCTGATCTAAAAACTCACTGTCACTATCTAGTCCATTGTCAATAATTTTTAGCCCCATTGCTTTAAGTTGTTTCTGTGTCAGACGCGTGTATTGCAACTACACCCTACCATTTCAAATTACCAGCTGATCGCACTAGAAATACTGACAAAAAAACGAGGGTCAAATTTGACCCCATCTATATTTTGGTTGCAAAACTTAGTATTAAAAATGTTGAGGGTCAAATTTATTACTTAATAATTAAGTGTAAGTATTTGCAATATTGTTATTAAATTCGGGACTATTACTGTACCTTTTGTTGAATTTTCAATACACAATACATATACAATTAATTGGTTTATATAAAGCTCATACTTTTGCTATCAACTTTGCACATTTATATGTTTGATATACGTCAAGTACTTTTAGAACCACCTATATAAATATGACAGCCATATCGTTTATTGGTTGTTACACCTGCTTTTTAGTTTTACTATCAAAATCAATGATATTCTGAAATTTTCTTGATTATTCGTACTGTAATGATTTGTTTTATATTTAGATCCAAGACCTAAAATATTTTTTATCAAATTTAACCCAATGGTCGCTATTTTTGACTTCATATTAAAATCAATACCATTTTTAAAAAGAATATTGTAGCGGTCACTATTTTTAATCACTATGTATTTTTTGTAACGGAACAACTCCTATATGTGCTTGGTTTGATGTGACAGGGTGAAAGCACTGTGCATGGCTCTGGGGGTACCGTATCTCCTTCTGCTGGTTCCATAACCATGGGGCCTGCCTGCAATCTCAATCGGGGTGGTAATCAGGCCTCTTTTAGGTCTACCGTTTCCGATACTGAGGTCGAAACTTTGCAGGTAAGTTTGTATGTGTTCCAGACCAATGTAGTTACTAGAAATTTACGATATAAAAAATTAGTTAAAGAGATTTTTCTTGAGAGTTAAATAAGTTTTGCTTCTGACGTTGCTCAAATTATTCGATGTTATTTTATACGTCTATATTTACATATATACCGGGTGGTCCAATAAGCCAATTTCTCGGCTATATATCAGAAAATTTTGAAAACCAGTTTTTTGGGAAATATGTCCAATTATACCAAGTGTTAAATAAGTAAACTACAAAGGGGCATAAATTCTACACAAAGTTGTTCAAGTACTTTTTTTATTTTTTCAAGTGAAGGGTGTGGGAGAGTGGAAAAGTATTTGTGGATAAATACATATAACTTTGGTTTGGTCCAACCGATTTTAATGAAATTAGAGTCATTGGAAAGAGTGTAGATGAATTAATTCACATCTACTATAAAATACTTGCATTTAGTTTTCATAGTCGTAGGTAGAGGGGACTTTCAAACAAAAAAAAAATAGTTTTTCTTTAAAATTTTTAATGGAAACACGTATTTATTGTAAATTATAATGGAACTGGAATAAATTCGCAACAAAATGGAGCAAACCGCATGTTAATAGCTTTTGTTGAACTCGAGACATGAATAAAAACTCATAAACATAAGTAAGTATAGTATTGACACACCCTGTATTATAAATTACATTAAAAAATAAGTCAGTAGGTATTTTCAAATTTTTTTATAGCAGAAGAATCTTGTTGATGTTGATACCTATTTTGTAAAAAATAGTTTTTTTGAAACTAAGTAGGCTACGACAATGAATTTGACGGGAAGTTCATATTGTTTATTTATTGACAGCAGTCAAAACATTGTTAAGAAGTGCTATATTATAATTCGAATTAAAGATTGCACTTTTTTCAATAGATATTAATATTGGTAATATTAGTAATTAATTATCAGTACAAATTATTCGTGATGAGTATATCAAATTGTATGATATGATTGGAGGTTATTTCGAATGTCACTAAAATGCCGCTATTGCCTCACGTATATATTTTGTAAGATATCGTGACAGGAGACATTATGGCAAAGAAGTATTTGAAAGAAAGGCAAAAAGATTAAGAGAAACTGGTAGTTTTTCTGATCCTTGTTTTAAACGACGTAGTATAGTTATGACCGAAGATAATTCAATCAGTGTTCTTGCTTTAATTCAACAGAATCCACATATAAGTAGTCCGAAATCTCTACT